CTTGTCCTCAATCACTTTCTCTTCACCTTGCTTTACTCTTCTCTTTCTTTGTACGGCCCTATCTGAACTGAGGCAGTAGACTGATGTTTACTTTGGAATCCTGAGCTTTAGGATATAAAATTCATTAAAAGAGGCCTGCATTACTTTATTCACCAAGGTGTCTTCAACACCAGAACAGAGCTTAGTACCTGATAGCCACGAATATTTACTAAGTTAATAAAAGTATGCATGTATAAACAAATGTTTTCAAGACTGCAAATGCAATCGGTCTTAGAAAGCATAATAGAACATAGCACATACACAGACTATGACTAAATGATAAAGTTGCTAAACCACAGAATAATGTTTTAATTACCTAAACTGGGCTGGTGCTGAGGATCACAATAATTCTCTGTAGTCATGAAAATAACTGCCAATCCAATTTCTGCTTCAGGAATAGGTCGAAGACCCTGTCTAGCAGGACAAAATATTAAGATTACATCATGCAAAATCAATCTTATGTTTCTCCCTGAAACCATAATTTTTTGGTGTGAACAGAATTTCAAACACAGACCTAGCTTCCATTAATAACACTGCAGCAGTATATTACATTAGACAAGTCTATCGTACTTTATGAAGTCAGGTAACTATCTGTAAAATGAAAAAAAAAAGTCAGAAAAAGATACAGATCTTTATAGTCATAAATTTCTATAATTTTTACAGCGAGCAGAAAATAGCAATTCCAAGATGAAAAAATAAGATAGTATTATAAATTACTCTATGATGACAATGATACAAGAAAAAGGGAAAAAAGAAAAGAAGTAGAAAGGACTACATACAAGCTATAGCTATACATGTGCTACTTCTGCACTTCAAATAAACTTCGACAATCGAATGTATTAAAGTATCCCCTTTTGGGGGGCGGGTTATTTATTTTTATTGGAAAGGCAGATTATCTTCTGTCCTCTGGTTCATTCCCTAAATTGCCACAATAGCCGGAGCTGAGCACATCCAAACTCAGAAGCTTCTTTCAGGTCTCCCACATGGGTACACAGTCCACAAACTGGGCCATCTTCCATTGCTTTTCCAGGACATTAGCCCGGAGCTGGACGGGAAGTGGACACCAACTGGCATCTACAGGGGATCCTGGAGCTTGTAAGGGGAGGATTAGCCACATGAGCCACTGCCCTGGGCCCTGAAGTATCTTCTTAAAGGAATCTCGTGGTATACCAATTGGCTGCTATTTTCCACTGTGAATGACTGATTTTACAAAACAAAGATAATTATGAACTGAACTTTAAAAAGGGTTTAAGTACAGGTATAATCCTAAAAATTTTATACTTAAACATTTTGAAGACATTACAACCAGCTGATCACAAATACCTATATATCTTTTAGGCAATTTAAAACTAGTATTTAAATGTCCTATTAAGCTTTTTAAAACTATAAATTATAATATGCAATTAGTTCTGAAGAGTCAGTACCTGAAATATTGCGGGAAGACAAAAGAAGCATCTTTCATATTATTAAAATTGTTGAATATTTATCTGAGAGGCAGACACAGAGTTTGCAAGCTTTGACCCACTAGCTCATTTAAATAGGCACAATGACTGGGGCTGGGCCAGTTGCAAGCTCAGTAACTGAGGAAGCAATCCAGCTCTCCCATGGCTTTGGCAGCGGCCCAGTTACTGGACACTGTTGCTTCCCAAGATCTGTACTGCTGGGAAGCTAGAGTCGGGAGGCAAAATAAGGAACTGTATGCAGGCACTCTGATGTGGGAGAGTGGCATCTTCATTAAAGCATTCAGCTAAATGCCTGCCCCACTGCTTCTGAAATCAATAAAGAGAGTAATGTGGTCACCATTACTACATTTATTCAACACTGCTCTCACAGCTCCAAATAGAACAAAATAAAAAAGGACAGAGAAAAAAACAGACAGATCAGAGGCTCAGGGATTAGGAAAGAGAGCAGACGTGTTATTATCTGTAGGTACAATTTATACAAAACAGGAATAAATGACTAAGGGTTAAACGGGAGTCTAAGGAGGTGGCTGCACACAGGATGAATATCTAAATGTCAGCACTTTGCAAACATCAACAGCAAATAACCAGAAAGGACCATCAGGGAGACAGTATCATGCATCTGCATGGTACCATAGGGTGCTTACTATCTACAAATGAATCTAACAAAAAATATTAAAATGTCCACACAAATCACTAAAATTATAGTGATTTATAAGGGTCTTTAAAAGGCCTAAGCGAATGGTTAGGGACATCATATCCACAGATACTAATCAACACCTAATTCTACTTCGTGCACATACATTCAGTGGAATTCCTAAAAGTCCAACACAGCTTTTGAGACTGTGATTCTAAACGTACATGGAAAATTGAGAAGCAAATAATAGCTGGGATGCGTCTGAAGAAGTGGAGAAAAAGTCTCCCAGCAGAGAGAAATTCACTGAAGTGACAGCAATTACGACAAAGTGGTAAATGTGGCATGACACATTCATCAGTGGAATAAAACAAAGGTAAAAGCATAGCTGCACATGTAGGAACTTTGTTATGCAACAGAAAAAAACACAACCATGAAAAGCAAAATAAGACTAGTAAAAAGTCAATAAAACATGAGCATTTTCTGACCTACAAAAATATTTCTTAAACATAAACAAAATCACTGACTACAAAAGTTGTCAATTTCACTACAATAAACTTAAGGGCTTTTTATTTATCATCACACTAAAAACATGTGCTCCAAAGTTACAAGTTGTAAACATTTCACAGATTTTGCAATACTCCTAAGTAAAGAAACAAACAAAAAAGAATTAGTAAAAAGTTTCTATAAATGTAAAAAGAACACAGAAACATGCAAATACTAAGATGGCCTGTGGGCTCAGCACGTTGGCTCAGTGGCTAAATCCTTGCCGTGCAAGCGCCAATATCACATACAGGCACTGGTTCATGTCCCAGCTGTTCCACTTCCCAGCCAGCTCCCTGCTTGTGGCCTGGGAAAGCAGTCCAGGATGGCCCAAAGCCTTGGGACCCTGCACCCATGTGGGAGACCAGGAAGAAGCTCCTTTCTCCTGGTTTTGGATCAGCTCAGTTCTGGCCGTTGTGGCCACTTGCTGTGTAAAGCAGTGGAGATAAGATCTTTCTTTCGGTGTCGGTCAGGTTGCCTCTGTAAATCTGCCTTTCCAGTAAAAAATAAATAAATACATGAATCTCAACCAAAAAAAAAATGGCCTGGTGTTTGCACCACATCTTTATTCTCCAGACATTTATTCACAAATTACTCTTTACATGAAATGTTTCTAAAAGTCTATTTTTTTAAACAAACACTGTAAAGAATGCAAATATTCTTTGATAGTTCAAGATGTAACCAACAATTAAGATTTTTTTCTTTTTTGAATGTGAGAATGAGGGCAACGGAGAGTCCACAGCCAAGTCTGTGCCAGGCCAAAGCTAGGAGTCAGGAACTCCATTCTGGTCTCCCATATGGGTAGTAGCTGCCCAAGTACTTGGTACATCTTCTGGTGCCTTCTTACGTGCCTTAGCAGGACGCAGGATCTGAAATGGAGCAGCCAGGACTGGAACAAGCCCTCTTATAAGGCATACTGCAGTGCTGCAAGCAGGGTTACTTAACCTGCAGTGCCACAACACCAACCATCTTTTTCAAACTCCAAGACTTCTCTGCCTGTCCCAGAGTCTTCCACCCTTATCCTGGCCCCAAAACAAATAACAGGGGCAAAGACTATAGAAGCAAATGTCACCGTATGACCAAGGTTGTCAGTCCAACCTTGTACTCCACTGAGGGTTTCTTCCCAGCATTTATGTATGCGGAAAGCAACATGCACTGCTGAAGAGCCTGGACTAGAGAACTAGACGCCTGGATCCCTATTCTGGTTATGATGCTCTACATCTTCTAGTCAAGTCCTTTCATCAGGTACCTCATCTACATAATGGAATCATAACAGTAAATAACGCTTGTGAGGATTACAAATTTGAATATACTAACCTTTTCTATAGATTTATGTAATTTTTAAGTGATAAATGGTATCACTCTTTTTCTGCTTGGTACATTCACTACCTGGCTCTCTATCACAGGCTCTCTCATCACAGGTAAAATGTTGCCTGAAAGCGGCCTTCTCTACTTATTTTGTATTTATGTTAAAAAAACAAACAAGAAAGGTTTAGGCTTTAATTTATAAGTGATAGGAACAGTCTGACTATAAGTACTTTACATTTACATTGCTCCAGCAAAACATGACCATAAATAAAAATGGAGCTTTGGGAAATATGGGTTGGAATATTATTAATAATCTTAATTGTATCCTTAATATTGTTATAGTTTTATCAGAAATTGATGATCCAGAAATAGCTGCAATAATAGATTTCTTTTGTAAGTTATGCTGTGACTTAATAATGGATATAGTGTGTATGTTAGAGTCTTTTAACAAAGGTGACTCCATCCTCCTAAACTACTGGTGAAATGGGGCCTCCTCTCTTATCGCTCCTGTCAAGAGACTCCTAGGCGCACAAGCCCTCCCCTTATCACCTTTGTCAAGAAGCCACAATGTACGTAAGCATGTCATGGTAGGAATGATAAAAGAAGAAATAATTGTATATTAATGAATAAGTATGTTTTGAGAATGAATATGCATGTTTTTTAGAATTAAGAAAAGCAAGTGTTATTGATAGATAATATGTAATAACCAATCAAAATATTGTAAACAACTGCCTGTTTTGCTCCTGAATTTGTATATAAACCCATGCATTTGTCCCAGTCACTGAAGCCAGCAGGCTCCCACTAGACCGGAGCCAAAAGCCCCTGGGCTTCCACTCGGACTTGCAGGCTCCCACGAGGCCGGAGCCAGAGAAGCCAGTAGGCTCCCACGAGACCGGAGCCAAGGTTTGGGCTTCCACTCGAACTTGCAGGCTCCCACGAGGCCGGAGCCAAAGGCCCAGCAGACTTCCATGAGACTGAAGTCAAGAGGCACTCTCGGTGGCTTCCCCCATCCTGTTTGGTGTGTGCTTGCCTGAATAAATGCTTGAATGCTTGATTGCAAAGCATCCACTCTCGACTCTTGGCATTTGTTCTGGTGACCGGGCTCGGTGTTCGCGACAGTTGGCGTAGTCGGCAGGATCCTCGGAGGACACAATTCCAGCTCCAACCCCAGCTTGGAGGATCGAGGAGGACGAACACCCGGATTGGTGAGTGCCCCGAATGGGATGGGTCAGAAGGAGGATAGAAAGATATTTGGAAGTGAAATTTGAAGAAGGGATCGGTGATTTAATTAAAACTGCCGGCAGTTGTAATTTTGTTCAGTGGGAATTTAAATTAATTAAGGTACAATTGTTAGTTAGATTATCAATATGGGCCCAAAAATAATAGAGAGAATTAAGAAATTGAATTTCCGGAAGAGAAATGAAGAAAATGAGAATAAGGAACTTAGACCCCAAGCCTTATGGCGCAGTTGTGAACGTGTAGTTCAGGCAAAGTTCCCTAATTATCCAAAGGGCACAGCTGTGGGGGTCCAGCTGAGCAACCCAGATATAGTAGAGCCGATCCTAGCAAGAGCAGGAAAGAAGGAAGTTCCCGGCATCTTATGCAAGGTTATTAATGACATAGAGGAAGACAGACAGCGAGGAAAAAGGTTGGTTAAGGAAGCATTGTTAAAATCAGGTAACCCATTCCTAGCTAAGGTGTATGAGGAACAGTTGGAGGAAACTAGTAAGGCAATGCCAGTGACAATTACCAAATTGTCAACCCCAGTAAGCCAACGCGGACGCGCAGAGGCTGGGGAAAAGGTAGTGGAAACCCGAGAGTTAACTAGGGCTGAGATCTCTCAGATTCGTGGAGATTTCTCTCAGAAACAGCATTCTGATGTAGATTATTTAGATGCACTATGGACTAAGGGAGCCACAGGTTTAAAACTGACAGCAGAAGAAATGAAGCAGATTAACTTAACAGTAGAACATCCAAATTTACAGGAAGCTTTAAGATCAGTAATAGAATTAGATGAAGATGAGACCAGATCCTTGTTTGCATGGATTGCACGAGCATGGGTGCAGGCCTTCCCATATTTAGATTTGGCTAGTATAGAACCCCAAGCCAGGTGGAGTGACCCAGTACAAGGTATTCGGGTGATAAGGAAGATAGGGTTACTGTGCAAAATGTATGAGGATAACCCAGAGCTTCACCCACTGAGAATACGATTAACACCAGCTATGAGGAATATCATAGTAAGAGGAGCACCAGAATCCATGAGGATGTTTTTGGCAGGGAGCATTGCAGGCATGCATGACTTACAGGAAGTGACTGATTGCCTTAGACAGTACCGGGACTTAAGTAACAATCCTAGGGCAGTATTTGCCACACAAATGTATGAGCCTTTCCCGAGCTTTCAGGTAACAGAGGCATCTCAGGTAAGAGCCCCTTTCCAAAACATTCGGGTAAAAAACGAAGGAAGGGGCCCGGGAAGTGGCCAGCCCGGACCCCTTTCCAGGAGGCCTCCCCCACCGCGCAGTTTTTTACGCGGAAGGAATGGAGAAGGTTCCCAAGGGATGAGAATAGGATTTCAGAGGCAGGGACTGTCCAACAGACAGTTTCCGAATGGGCAAGGTTGGAAACACAACATACGGCGACAACAACCCCGGTTCACCAGTCCAGTAGAGAGGCAATTTCACTGCCCCCCAGGCAGACCGGAGAGAACAGACCGTACATCCTCCTGGCAGGAAGGTGTGAAGGGAAGGAATTTCGTGCGAGGTTCTTGGTCGACACAGGGTCACAGGTAACCATTGTTAATAATGAAGTATATGTTAAGGAAATCAAGCCAGAAAATTGGGTAAGGGGGATATCCGGAGCCCCCATACCCGCCCAAAAAATTCCAATTGTAATATATGTATATAATAGGGAACCCCTGCAGGCAAATATTATGAAAATGAATGTTGAATGCTGTGTTTTAGGCATGGATTTATTGCAGGATATAGTAGGGGAATGGCTACCATTAAAACAATTAAAGGGGATCTGTGCTGTAATAAGTATAGTAAAAATTGATCCAGTAGTACTCCCTCGAATTCCAGCTAGCTTTACTAAACAATATCCCATTAAGGGAGGACATGATGAAATTACTGAGGCTTTAAGGGAGTTAGAAGATCAGGGGGTGGTAGAGCGCACCCAATCATTTAATTATAACAGTCCAGTTTGGCCAGTAAAGAAACCTAATGGTAAATGGCGTTTTACAGTGGATTATCGTAACATTAATAAATTATCACCACAAATGCCAGGAAATTTACCTGAAGTAGAATCCATATTTTCGGGCATTAAACAACTAGCCCCAGAGTGGTATGCAGCTGTTGACCTTTCCGATATGTTCTTTTGTATACCCCTAGCTGAGGAATCAAGAGAAATTACTACCTTTACCTGGGATGCATGCCAATATCGTTTCACTAGGTTGCCACAAGGGTACCGGAATAGTCCAATCATTGCCCATGCTACACTCCGACAAACTATTCCTTGGGACTCATTCCCAAAATCTGTAAGAGTCTTCTCTTATGTGGATGACTTGTTGGTTTGTGGCAAGGACAAATCTGAAGTTGATTCTACAATAAAACAACTAGTCACCCTGTTACAACAGGCAGGATGGACTGTAAATCCAGATAAAATACAAGGCCCTAGTCAACAGGTGAAATTTTTAGGAGTCTTATGGTCCTCAGTAGGACCCAGCATCCCTGACAAGGTAATGGATATTCTAACCCACATTGAAGAGCCCAAAACTAAACAACAAGCCCAACATATAATTGGTTTATTTGGCTATTGGAAAAATCACATACCCTATTTACAAATTCTTCTAGCACCAATGTATAAGGTTACTAGGAAAGCACAAGATTTTGTATGGGGTAAAGAACAACAAGATGCCTTTCATACTGCCTTGAGCTATATGAAATTATATGCACAATTATATATTCCCCAACCAGATGAAGAATTAGTTATAGATATTTTATTTGTGAAGGATTATGCATCATGGGGAATGTTTATTAAAAGGTCAGGGAAAACTTTACCAATTGGCTTCAGATGCAAAAGATTCCCATATGCACCAAACAAATATTCTCTATTTGAGAAATATGTTTGGGCAACCTATAGTGCTTTATCATCAATAGGTTTTTCTATTTCCAATAAACGCATACACATCCGCACGCCTGCACCCATTTTAGATTGGGTTAGGATGCGTGATGAATCTTTGTCAGGCCTTCCCATTGAAAACAAGGTACTCCACTGGAAATGGCAATTACAACAGTTATTGCAGGACACTTTTGTTAAGTCCAGTACCAAGGTATCTACTCTAACAGAAGAGTTAAGCCAAACACCAGTAATCGCAGCACCCAAGTTAACTACAGAACCTGATCGCCAACCAATTGGCCGATGGGGATCTAGTAAAACCCACCCTAATGCTTGGTTTACAGATGGTTCCTCCTCAGTGACTAATGGCAGAATATCATGGAAAGCAGCAGCTTTCAGGCCCAGTGACAGGAAGATTCTTACTAGAGAAGGATCCGGACAGTCGGCACAAATTGCTGAACTACAAGCAGTAAAATTGGCTGTAGAGGAATCCATCAAGGAAGGTCAGAAACATGTACATGTTTTCTCAGACTCATGGGCTGTATGCAATGGTATAGCCATTTGGTCTGCTAAATGGCGTGCAAACTCTTATACTATTAACAACAAACCTGTATGGGGCCAGGATGCTTGGCTATTTTTAGACCAAGCACCCATTTCCATCTTTGTTACCCATGTAGATGCTCACACTAACAAAACTACCTTTGAGGCTGAGAATAATGCCATTGCTGATAGGTTAGCTAAAGTTAACATAGCTATTAAATTACAAAATACAGCCCCCTGGAGAAGCACAATTACAGAGACAGGCATTAAATTAAAACGAGACCCAAATTGGCAAATGACCCTTCCAGGTACTGAAGCTCCAGTTACTCCACATGAAATTCTGGAAATTCACAGAATTAATGGTCATATGGGCACACATGCAGTGTTCCGATGGTTCCAACGACGGAACATTAAAGTCACATGGCAAGCATGCCGCAAGGCTATTCAGACTTGCCCAGCATGCCCCAATTGGCAGCAGCGTTTTAGACACCATAAGCCAAATACAATGGGCAAGCCACAAGAGTTTAACCATACTGTTCAAATAGATTATATTGGACCATTGCCTTCATTTAAGGACCAATATGCATGTGTAATAGTGGACGTCTGTACAGGGTTGGGCATGGCAACCGCTTCTAGACAGGCAAATCAGATATCTACTATATTTGCCCTTATCAGATGGTGCTCTGCATATGGCCTACCTACCATCATTGAATCAGATCAAGGTTCTCATTTCACCGGTAGCAGTGTACAGAAATGGGCTTTAGATTGGGACATTATGTGGAATTTCCACATTGCTTACAACCCTACTGCATCCGGATTTGTGGAACGTTTCAATGGCCTTCTTAAGGCCCAACTGCTCCAGTTTGAAGGTGAACAATTACAACGTGCACTAAATTTAGCTTGTTTTCAGTTAAATGATAGGGATCGTGTGCAGCGCCGCTCACCTTTTCAAGAAGCATTTCTCAAATTAGCCTTGCCCTATCCAACCCCTACAGACTCCACTCTACTTGTCCCAGACAAGGCAATTGGCAGAGACAGGAAGAATAAGGCCCTATATACGACGGACATCGTCGCACAGGGACCAGGACACTCATTTTGGACTACATCAGGTAAAGGCGAATTACGCCTCACCAAGTCTGATGATTTAATTGCAAGATGATTAGGCCAGTCTGCCGTGCCATTCAATTGCTTGTTGTAATAGTCTTATTTCTTTTGGCTTTGTGGCTTGTTGCCCACTATACTATCTGTACTACACGCAGTTGCAGCCCCGATTACACTGCTGTAGTTGGAATTATTGATATTGGGCCATGTGGCACATTTTCCAATTTCTCCTATTGCCTTTTTGCTTTGTAAGTGGCGATGAGCTTTCCTTGAAGGACGCCACTTCCCCGACCTATTGGCTCAGCAGATCTATTTTCTCAAATTTTACCGCTAATAATTTATATTTTTGGAATCATTATGCTTTTTGCAACCATTTTTCAAGGAGTTTTTCCCCAAGTAATTGCACGGCATATTGGGATGCTAGGACCGATGCTCATTTTTCACCGGTCTGGCATGCTTCTGATTTGTCAGATGGATCAGACATTGGCTTTTTACAAACTAATATTAATGAAGAAAATCCTTTGAGATGTCATCTTATAGAATTGGTCCGAGATGTATGGGGGTCATCTCCCATGTATATTTATTATGCCCAGAAACTGGCGGCACGCCCACATGTTGTGGGACTGCAGATCAATGGCACCAGGAATATTACCTTTTATACACAAATGACTTCTGACACATATTTTACGTGTGGAAAATTTCTTAAATATTCCTTGCCAGCTCAAGCTTTTGCCCTATGGGAAAAGTCTGCCGCACCAACAGATGATTATGATTATTCTGCTTTTTATTCTGACTCTTCTGACTATCCTGATTCTTCTGATTCTTCCCCTCCTACTCTCCCCACTGCACGTACGGAATCTACTACGGAACCTCCCTATAGAACATGTATGTCCAATCAGGCAATCACATGTAAACCAGAATTTCAAAAGCCCAACCGTACCTTGCCATCACCTTGGGGAATATTTTGTGATTTCATTGACAAAAGTTTGACCCAGAAGATCCAAGCTTTTTACCCAAATAAGACTATCTATGTGTCATGTGTAGCAAATTTTCCCAATTTACCAATTTATGGCTCATTCCGTCCTTTTACCTTGGCACCTGACGATAGGCCCTATGCTCAGCACTTTCATACTAATTTTTCTCTTCTGATTACTAATTCTTCTTATTTACCTATCAATCAATGGTGGGAAGTCATGCGCCTAGGTACTCAAACCTGGCGCACTCCATTGGTCATTACTGACCCTGTTCCACAACCCTTTCCATCTTTTAACCCACCCCATGAAAGTACCCGTACCCCTGACCTAACTGGCACTCAGGCTCTTCGCCAATTCCTTTGTGTGCGTAGTCTCTTTCTCTGGCATGAAACTCCCAAAAGTACTGATATGGGTTGGATTTGCTTTCCTTTTGAATTTCAATATCATTGTGATTTACTTCCGTCACAGCCCAGATATGCTCCTGATTATACTATGCCAGTATATGGTCCCGGGGGTGAAGAGACTTGGACTACCTTCCGGCTGAGCCGAAATTTTTGCCAAGCCCCACCGTGGCGAGTATTAAATGATATTTTTAATTTCACATTCTCCTTATACAATTATGCAAACTGGTATACAAAACCAATGTGGAACCAGTCACATTTATATCTCAACCCCAACAGGCCTGTGTCTTGGTCTAATGCTTATACCACATCTGATGCCCACCTTGCAGAAACTCATGTAACCATCCCTTATCGATGGAATTTGACAGATATATTGAGCCCTGATGCATCTAATGTTGTTAATGTCACACAACGATTACCATTTTTAATTTGGACTAACCTTTCGCGGGTTAATGTCAATTTTGGCTTTACCTGCTTCCAAGAATGTGATGAACATTTGCCCCATTGGGTGCCAGTGGCTAATATATCCAAGTCATCTGTCCAATATCTATGGGCCAATTATTCTACCATGGCTGTTGAACGAGCCGGACGCAAGCCAGTCTCTTCACACCCCCGTTTCTGGAAGAGGTGTGATTGGGGACCCTTTTCCATGAAACGTGTGTCTGCCAAACATCGCTCTTTGTTGTACAATGTATCCTATTTTGATTTACCTATGGATATCTCCACCCATGTTACCAATATTACTTATGCAATTCGTGCAAATTACCCAAGGAAACTCTCTCCAGCAGTCACTTTATATGACTACCACCCACCCTCTCTTAATGAAGTGGTATTGACAGTAAATTCTAAATTGGCCGCATATATGCCTACACAAACCAATTGTCCAAATGATTTTGACATTACTGATGCGGTGGTAAGATATCCATTGGTTCCGGAGGCGGACCACCATACTGTGCACTGGTGGCTTTATCAAGGCATGAACTTTGATAATTTCACTCATGTACGGTGGGTGGGAAGTCTCCCATATTATACCTATATGCTTTTACCTGGACCAGATAATGAATGGGCTATGTATGATATTATTAGCCATAATATCTTGAAAAACCATACGGATGTTGTAGACAATTCATTTGTACACCCTGTCTTTGAATATCGAATGAATTTTGATACATGTGGAACTAAATCCCCGCTTGACCCATGTTTGATCGATCGCGGTGGATTTAATGAGACCCACCGATGGGTCACAGCACATTATCCGTCAGCAGTAGTGAACCCACCAGTAGTGCCAGCTATGACCATCTCAGCACCAGGCATCCTCCCAGTAGTTTCAAGACCACATCGTATTCTAATCAAACCATCAATCACACCTATGCATATACGTCTGTCCCTAACATCTTTCGCTTCTACAGACTTGTCCAGCTTGCAATGTGATAAGCGATATTTCGCCTTACCAACCCTTTATCACGCAGCCCGAGGCGGAAACTCAGGACGACGTCTGCTACAGGTAGCAGAAATAGGTGCATTCCTTGTGGGGACAGCACTTGGTGCACTGATTGCAGGTGCCATGACTGAAGAACTTCAAGTACAGATCACGAGCCTGCGACACCTACAGAATGAACAATTCCGAGCAGTCCAAGCTATTTCCAACAACCTGCATGCTGTTGCCGTTACATTGGACAAAATGCATGCAGAACAACAGAGCTTTAAAGAAGGCATGAACATCCTCTTCAAAAAACAACTAGAAGATGAAAAGATTGTTGCCCAGGAAGTATCCCAGATTCTCCATCGTCAAGAGTGTCTACATGCGCAGTTAATGCTGCAAGCTGCCTTCAATGATCTCAAGATGCTTTTCAACACTGGCGTTGGTCGTGACACAAGATCGGGTATAACTGTTTTAGACCCTACTAAAGAAAGTTCCTGTGTTGACGGCTTTTGTGACTTATATATATGGCAGATTTCCACTTCATCGGCTGTAGTGGCTTTTGACACTGTACCGGTGCCACAATACATCTCTGGCTCCTGGCTGGTACCTTATGATCGTTACCTGTTGGCGGTGGTGGACAATAGTTCCTGGTATGTGCCCATGTCTTCAGTATATGCGCTTGGGCCAGGCCTTTTTCTAGGGTTTGAGCTCTGGAGGCCGGACTATCCGATCTCTAGAATCGCCCTGTGGCCTCATGGCATCAGACGCATAACAGACCTTGGTGGGTATCGCATCCTCACGTGCGGTGACTCTGCCTATTCGGTCCAATTGTGGCACAACGCTTCCTACAAGGAACATGTCGAACTCCCCACAGGATGCCATGTTCATACCAACACCATGATGGCAAAACACGATCAAACCAACCAGACAGTCCTAACCTCAGTGGCCATGGTTACAAACCATACCTTTGGTTTGCATTATTTTGTTAAGCCTGTCACATCCAGCCATGAAATTTTTAGAAAGTGGCAAGAGTCCGCTCAACATCTGGACACACTCTTCACTCAAAACCAACACGTCATAGATAAACTACATCAAGATTCTACTGCAGTTCTGAAGACAATGAAGCAAGACATCTCACAAATGCGCTACATGGTACAACACGCTCGTATAGTCCCATCATCTGTCTTTACATCGATAGCTCAAGATTGTACCCTATTTCAACTGATACGTCGCGCAATCTTACAGGATTTTGCCTGCTTACAGCGATGGAATCCCTGGCACTGGATGAAAGAACTATTTCGTATCATCACTATACTGATACTATTTTACATCTTTATTCGTGCCTTCTTCTTCTTCTGTCGCAGGACTGCTCGTGCTTCTACCAAAGAATATCATAAGAAGTGGCTATACAACCATGCCTAGAAGAAGATCCGCTCTCAATCTTAGGCACCATGCATGCTGTCGACTTTGCCTAGCATACCATCATTTTCTGAGATCCACTTTTATTTATGGACCTGACCCGTTGGATTTTGGACGCCGTAATTTTTCAACGTTCGATCCCAACAGACCTACTCCTGTAGCAATTGTACGGCCCTTTATCCAAGCGCCGCCCAGCTCCCTCACCACCGCAACTCTTCACCCTTGGAGACACCCAACACTTGTTGGCGAACGACGAATTCGTCGTCGTCGTAGGCGACTCAGCCTATGACATCTTTCCCATTGGGTATTCCCCTTGTCTCCTATTTGTGATCCATCGGCGATTCCTCTGGAACCACCGACGGATCAGGGGGTGGATTGATAGGAACAGTCTGACTATAAGTACTTTACATTTACATTGCTCCAGCAAAACATGACCATAAATAAAAATGGAGCTTTGGGAAATATGGGTTGGAATATTATTAATAATCTTAATTGTATCCTTAATATTGTTATAGTTTTATCAGAAATTGATGATCCAGAAATAGCTGCAATAATAGATTTCTTTTGTAAGTTATGCTGTGACTTAATAATGGATATAGTGTGTATGTTAGAGTCTTTTAACAAAGGTGACTCCATCCTCCTAAACTACTGGTGAAATGGGGCCTCCTCTCTTATCGCTCCTGTCAAGAGACTCCTAGGCGCACAAGCCCTCCCCTTATCACCTTTGTCAAGAAGCCACAATGTACGTAAGCATGTCATGGTAGGAATGATAAAAGAAGAAATAATTGTATATTAATGAATAAGTATGTTTTGAGAATGAATATGCATGTTTTTTAGAATTA